AAGAGAGAGAGATCTGGGAAGGGCTTAACAAGCACCATTGTGCTCCCTCTCCCCCCCCTTTTTTTTTTTTTTTTTTTTTTCTTCTTCTTTTTCCCTTCCCTTTACTCAACACCAAAATGGCATTTCTGTCCACCGCTGGGAGGGATAGTGTTTAGTGTGTCTGTGTGTGATTTCACCTGGATGCTCACCGACACTGTCAGACAGGTTCTGCAAGTGGAATCCTGGGAAGGCAATCCCTTAAATGGAAATAAGCAAGAGGTATGCTTTTTATGGAGAGATTTAGAAAAACAAACAACCAAACAAAACAACAACAAAAAAGCTCCTTGCATCTGCTAGCAATGCTAAGTAATCTCCGGGTGGGACAATAGGCAGCACAACTCGGAGTGTGCGAGAGGAGGCATTTATCTCACGTCAGCCACCTCTAAAAATTCGCCCCGCCTAATGCACTGAGTTAATTGCTTTTTCAAGCATCACTGAAGACTAAAAAACTTAATATTTTATGATTCTGAGTATTATGTAGTCAGAAACTGTATTAATATTAAAACTGTGCAATATGAAAACACTGTTTCCAGACCCTTGAAGGGCAGTATTTCAGAGACAAGTTCTGTCGATGTTGTCTTGTTTGTGTAGGGATGTAGTTACCTTAGTGTCTGACATTTTATAATTTCATGGAACGTATTTTCATGAAACACAGAAGGGTAACGTCAAATAAATGCCATAAACAAAGTCTATTTTCTTTTACTAGGATTTTTAGCCTTTGATATGTAACGTACGATACGCATTGTATTACGATTTGAATTTTTCAAACTACAGTAGAAGTAGAGGTCAGCTAAAATTGTACCACAGATCATGGGTAAATGGGTGGAATTAAGGTAATAATTTGCTTTTCGAAGTTACTTTTTTTTAAAAAAACACCAAACGTTCAAGTTTATAACAACTTTTTAAAATACCGATTATCATTCCAGGGAAATGTTATTTATATATATTTTTAATAATATTTTGTTGATGCTGTCTTATTTCTTTTTAGTTTCTGCAACATCTACAAACACAAATTTCCAACGGGGTTGTGAGAATCTATTCAAAATACTTTTTTCTTTTGTGGGACACTGTGTACTTACGAATAACATAATAAAACCTTGTTCTAGTCTTGTTAACAAGACAAACTTACAGTTTCTGTGGAAATTTATTTACCTTTCCGTAAAGAAGGGATAATTTTCTAATTGTAGATTCCCACATATTAATGAAAGTACAGAAATACACTCCCTACTGCTGCCTCCCATCACCCCTGGTTGGACTTCTTACGGGAAAGATTATTATTAAAAACCATTCTGCACGAGCTGGCACAAAAACTTAATTAGTAACTGGTGTAACTACAAGTAAGCTGTTTCTTCAGTAACACAACTTGTGTGATGCAGAACGCTCTGCGGGACCGATTCACTTTCCTACTGTGTGCAGGGGAGTAAGGGGGGATGTCGCTGAATCATTCACATTTTAAAAGCATCAGTGGATGAAACGGAAAAGTATAAGTAAAATAATAACAATAATAAAAAATAGCAATAAAAAAAAGAAAAAATAACAGTGAATAAGTGTATTTTAGGAATATGTATTTAGAAATAAGTAAGTATTTAAAAAAAAATCTAAGATGTTTCAGTTGTGCCTGTAGGTAAAATTTGATTGTTGTGAAATACTAAGGAAATGTTACCAAACAGGGAGCCATACCAAGTTACGTCTTGCATAGAGCAGAGCCTCCCTCATGGAGGAGAAGGAGGGAACACCCAAGAACAGGAGGTCCCCTCCCTTTCACAGGAGGGACCATTGACCCCAATGGAATTCCACCCCGCAGGCACAAGGAGAAATTGTGACTCCAAGACATTATGATGTGCAGACACTGTGAGTTGAGGCACAGACAGCGCGTTGGTAAGTGAAAACTATGTTACACCAGGACAAGTATCGAGGGAAGTGTGAATGTACGATTCGTCTCTCAGGTTGTGTTTAGGGGATGCGGATAGCTCCGTATGAAAGGTAAATGCGCTGTAATGTGCTTCCCATTGTGGTCAAGCTTTTTCTACATCTTTTTAAAAATAACTTCTTTTTTTACTTTTTGGTATTTATTTCTCATTGCTAGTCCATTTTTTCATATATGCTTTGTCTTATAAGTGTAAAATTGCATCTTTCTCATCCCCCAGTAAAATACAGACATTATGTAAATATATATATAAGAACAATCAACCTCAAAAGAAAATGGTTTTACAAACTTTAAAAAAATATATTATTTTCAGTGTTTGCTTTGCTATCATTAACCTGCTGCCATAGTTGATGTGCATCTTGGATGACGCTCACAAGTACGTTGGCTTCCACAGTGTTTCCTCGTTGCTTTAGCATTGGATAAAAGGTGGGTATTTTTTGTTAAGGGCAGAAAACTAAGGGCAAGATTATATGAATATATGTCTGAATTTACTGTTTTACTGAAACTACATGATCTTCTCATAAACTTAACAGGTAGATTGGATTGTTTTCAAGTTCCGTCTTGACAGAGTTTTTAGCTGGTGGATTGAACTGTGAGTGGATGATGGTGTGTATCTAGAGGAGGAGTCACCCCTGCTAGCACAGGCGCTGGGGGCGAGTGGGGGGAATTAATTGCCTGCTGGAATTTGCCATCTTCCCGCCCAGGCAGCAACAGGAGTTGAGATTGCCAGACCTTACGTGGTGCAATGGGTGGCAGATAGGTGAAATGAATCCCGCAGCTGCTTGTGTGGGAGCAAGCAGTGAGTCACTACACACGTCCCTTTTTGAAAGCAGCAGTGTTGTAAGTGTGCTGAGCTAAGGGTACAAATGAAGCAAGGCTTGCATGGGAAGGACTATCATTTTTAGATCAAACTGATAGAAAAGAAGCAGCTAGGCTCTCCATACGTCTTTGTTCTGATCTCCTCCCTATGAGATAAAGGGTTTCTGCTTCCTTTTTTTCCCCAGTTGTCTTTGATTGAATATATTTGATATTCTAACTCTCAACTGTATTTATTAGAAATACACTGCTGAAATTCAAAGAGTGTCTAGCATAAGAATAGACAGAGACCCCTTAATTTCTGTGAGAATAGGATCTCTCTAATCTTTGTTTCCTTGCCAAATTCTTCAGGTCACGCCTGATACTCCTCACTGTTGGCTAAAGTTAAGGTGAGCCGTAGTGAAAAGCCGTAGTGGCTTCTAAGCTGGACTGCCTTTCCTTTTGTGCTTATTCCTTGCATGTGTGTAAATTTTGGATATGTAAGGATTAGCTTTCCCGTTCTTTGGTGGATCTAGCTAAACTATTCATTCACCGTCTTGTAACAGTTTTATTGAAGGGTATTTTGATTTGACAATTTAGTAATTACTGTAGCTTTCAGCTCAATTGAATCTATGATTCATGGGAGTAGTTTGGGCATCCTGCAGGAGTTCTCAGTACTGCATGGTTTTTCTGCAGAGGGCTGGCTTGTTCACTCCTGCCTGTGGATGGAGTTGCATAATCCACCTCGTTCAACTCACAACGATGCTGCCCAAAACAGCGAGGGAGGAAAGATGAGATTCCTGTTTGTGTTGTTGTTGCTCTTCTGTTGTGTCATATCTGTTCTGATGCCTCCAGATCTTCCTTTGGCTACGCCAGATCTTGCTATGGCCTCTCTCACTACCACCTTCACCAGTATTAATACTTCCACCGTGCTGGTCAGCTGTCCTCCCACTGATGGTGGCTTTTTTTAATCCACTGCAGTAATTTTCTTATTGTTCTTGTACACTAAAACCAGGTTAAGAGGTTACATGAGCTTTTCTCAACTCCATCATTTAGACAAAAATCTTCAGTGGTCTTGTTCTGAAGCCAGGAGGGTGATTTTGCTTCTACACAAATGAAGCTTGTCCTTCTGGAGGAGTCCCATCCCTGTGACTGCTTCCAAGTGGTCAAGTTTCCTCATGGCTTTGTAGAATCCCTGGGGAGCTTTTCATTATTGTTGTTATTTCATCCTCCTTTAGGATAAGAGAATGTCAGTGGAAATCATCTGATCTCCCATTTCTTGTATTCTGAGGGCTGTGGACTTGTGCAGTTCTACCTCCTGTCTGGCAGACTGATTGTGAAAGAAGATCAATGGATCTCCTTTGCAAATGAAAGTCTGTCCTGTGGTCTTTCTCTTAAAAGGTGCTGTTCCTTTTTCCTTATGTAGTATTGAGTGACAGTTTTGGCTCTATGAGAATGATTTCTCCATCACTTAGGCTGACCTTTTCTTTGTAATGGTCTGAATTTTTTCTGTTTGTTGTTTTTTTCCACATCCTGTATTTTGCTCTTTACACCTTTTACTATAGCCCTGCCTTCAGGATTAGTGTTTTCATCATCTCTTATTTTTCTAGGGCTGACAGATCATTGTGTTTTTGGAAGACCTTTGTTTGCTAATTTCTCCTTTTTGTTTCCCAATTGAGCAAAGTGATTTGCTCTAATTCCTTAACTGAACTTCTCTTGCCATGTAATCTGTGTCTTCACCTGTCTTGTCCCATGACAAACAGCGGCTAAAAATGTGCAATTAAAGTGACTAAAAATAGGCATTTTTCGTGTTTTGGATTCATAGGTGTTATAGTTCCTACAGGTATATCACTGTGGAAGGAAAAGTATACATAGTATTTATGTACAGTGTTAAATTATTGGTAAAAATATAGTATCTATGTTCAATTCAGAATTTTAGAAAATATGGTTTCCTTGAAACACGGAAAAATAGCTTGGGGTGGGGTTTTTTTTGCAGTCTCACATATTTTATATAGATTCCTGGTCCCCTTGGGAGGGCAGGGTGCTGAAGACAGAGAGGTACTGAGCTAGATGTATTGCTGCGAAACAAAACAAATTACATCTAAAACGTCCAGGGGAATAATTTACTGTAAAATTTCCTTCTGCATATCCACCACCTCCTTGGGCTCTCTAAGAGAGGAGGGTCATCCTACTCTCTCCCTTGACAGGTATGTGAATTGAAGGGTAAGAGAACCTGTGCAAGGAGGGGAACTCGGAGAAAAAAGAAATCTCCCTCCTGCTGTGCATATAGGAAAACAGGGATCAAGAAAAGTTTAAAGGAAAACAAAACATCGATTCAATGGAATACATGCAGAAAGAATACTCAGTTCTCTGTGAGACTTGTGCCCTCAGAAAGAACAAAGAGCAGTTAAAGAAAGGGTGCATCATCTTCAGTTTCAAATATTACACCTTTGAATCAGTGATGGATAATGCAAAAATATTTCCACCCTTTCAGAACAGTAAGATGCTGTTTGCAAGGGATATTAATGGGCACCATTCTTTATCCCCGAGTGATGGGAAACACCAGGATGTTACCATGTGTTTCTGATTACGCATTTTCAGTGTATTTTTCCCCTCCTAGAATAACTTTGACTTCTTAGCCCTGGCTTTGAAAATATGTGGTTTTATTTCAGATTCTTTCATGATAATGCTTTTCTTTGATATGCTTGCCTTTGTTCTGTATCTGGCTATCAGCAAGGCCTGTTGCCAAGACAGAAAAGTATTCTTTTGGCAGTCTCTCTGAACAGCTTCTGCAACTTTATATTCATTCTTTGACACTGCAGTTCCATTTAAAAAGGCTGCCTAGGTAATGTGGATGTATAGATTTTCAGGTGTCATGGAGAACATCTTTCTGAAAATTTATTCTAATTCATGTGGGTCTGGAAAGGATTTTCTGTTTGTTTCCTTTATGACACAGGATGTTCAAACTATCTTATCCTTGGTATTGTTGTTTAGGATCAAATAGCCCATACCAAATAAAACCAGAATGTATTTTTGGTAACTGAGGAACAGCAGGTTCTGGAGGGTTTAAAATAGGTGACATATGATACCAAGAATAGCCCGGTGCAGCTTAGCCGACCTGAGAAACTATTCAAAGAGCAAACCAAAATGGAGAGCAGTTCTATATTCCATGCTTTCAATAATATTTATTTTGCCATTTTTGCTTTGTTTTGCTTCAAGCTCCTAATTAAGATTTCCTTGGCTCTGCTGACCCATTTCTATATTGTTAAAGGCAACAGGAAAGAGGCTGCCAGGATAGCCGAAGAGATCTATGGAATAGTCCCAGGTAAAGTAAAAATATGGACACTCTAACATTTAAATATGTATTTGCTACATTTTTATAACTTGACAATCTAAATCACTGAGTTGACATGAAATGAGGAAGCTGTTTCTAAATGCATGGATGAATGTTTTAACCTGAAGTGCCTTCCATTTCTGGGGTCTTTGCAACGTCAGTATGTGTTGGCATGATTTAGGTGTGCAAAATATGAGACTCCAACAATTACCCAGCTAGAACGAGGACAACATTTACTCAAGACACTCTGGTAAATAAAAAGATTGCTCTCAGAAGCAAGGCGTTCTTTAGCAGGGGTTACAGATGGTTTTACTAAATAGCTAGCTTTATTGAGAGAGAATGTTTAGGGAAAAGTTTTAGCAAGTTGATTTTCTGAAAGGAGATATTAGGAGGATATAACTAATGACTTTATGAACCCAATCCAAGAACCCCTGATTTGTTAAATCAGATGATAAAAATGAACACAGCTAAAATTATTCAGAAAAATATACAGGACAGGAATCTATTGTATGTAGTAGTCTATGTAGTAGGTAATTTTTTCTTTTCCCAAAAATTATTTCAGTCCCTCATATCACTGCCATAATAATGAGCAGACATGCGTTGGCATGCCCAGTAGTTCTAATTCCACTAATTAAAATGCCACAGTATTTTAAATATACTACTAATGAGGACATATCTTCCTTCCTGAAGATTCTTATCAGCGTTGCGACATCACAGATTTTTATGTGATTCATTTTTTGGGGCACTTGCTTCATGATGAATAGTGCTGCCATGAACAGGCACATGAACGTGAGCAGAACATGGGTGGTGTGAGACGGCCACCCAAAGCAGAGGGATTGAGACCTGGCCAAGAGAAATACTGCAGTGAAGCATTTCTTACAAAGCATTTATATACAGGCACGTCCTTCTCTGAGTTATTCACCTATCTGTTATTCTCCAGAATATAATTCCAATCATTTATTACTGTCTTTTTTTTTTTTTCCAAGTGCCTTCATGCAATTGTAAAACGTGGCAAACAGCAGCTTTGCTTTCACGCAGGTTCTTATCAAAGTGCCTTCAAGTTTAGAAGATTGCGACATATTTTTATCTGCAAGTTGCCATTTACAAAAAGCCATTAAGGATAATCTTTCAAAACATAAGATCATGTGATGCTGTTGCTGGGCGCTATATTGGATTGCAGGCGGAGCTTCACGGCCTTTTCTCTTTGCAGTGAAGTAGCGCAGCAGCAGGGCTGCTTAATTTATCTGTAGAAACTTAAAAAGACACAGTGTTTTCAGACATGTCACTCACAACCTTGAAGGGAAGATGTGCCCCATATGGGAGCTATATTTGCCACACGTTTCAGGGAGGTAGGTTGCTGTGGCTAGCATGGAAGTATGCAGCAGCATGTGAGGCTGCATGCATTTTCATGGTGAGGCACCATTGCATACATTCACGTATGAAAATGCATACATTTCATGGTGAGGCATGTGTGTGCCTACATGTGATGGTTGTGCTGTAAATGCATGTGATGTGCACCTGCACGTGCTACATTACATGCATAAAAGTTTAAATAAGGCACCCCAGCTCTGTTGTCTGAGTGACTTCTGAATCTTCCTGCTGTATAAGGGTCCTGTTGTTGTCACTTGCAGTGTGCTCTAACTTTCTGAACTGAGCTTGCCTATTTCAGTAACCAGCACGACAAGAGATGAGGGTATTTTTGGACCTTTTCAGGAAAATGTTTCTTGGCCCCTACCTGATTCTTCTTTCCATCATTTGGCCTGATGCGTCCTACTGCATCCTTACGAGCCTGGTCACATACTGTGCTGGCTGATCTTTTCTTGCCATCTTTTTGCCTTAGGTGCCCCAGGAACAGCTCCTTCAATAAATGGAAGCAAGAGTAATAACTATAGTTAAAACCATAAGCCCATGAGTTGAGGTGCATCCTGGTTCTCAGGTAAAAAAAGGAGATTCCCTTGGCCAAGGCTGAAACCTCTGCTGCATCCTTAGCATGAAGTCCCCCGGGATGTGTCTGTGACTCTCATTGATTTCTCTGCCTCAGGTAACACCTGAAATGGAGATGAATCACACTTTCCATTCTCTCTGGTGTGTGGTGTAGATGAAAAAATTAAACAGGACAAGGTTTTCAAATACAGTGCTCATGGGGCCCCTGCACAACAGAGCATGCATGCAAATACTGGCACTGCTTCTCTCACGCGGCTCCGTAAATGCAGCTGGTCTTTGGAGAAATACTTAACTACACACCGTGTTGCGGTATGGCGATAAATTTTAATTTAGGACAAGTAAATTTACTCTCCACTTGAGTTGTAGGGATTTAACCTGAGCTGACTGACTATGCCTGTAGGTAGTAGCTAGGCTACAGATTGTTTTTTTTTTCCTTGGCACAAGAATAGATTAAAATAAGAAGGGCAAGCTGGTCTACATGAAGGAGTCTTCACAGTTCAACAAAAGGATTAAAGAAGAAAAATAGACCCTCAGGCAGAATTTGTTTTTCCATGTCTCTCCTGAAACCTTCCAGTGAGGAGGAGGATGAAACCTGTTACCTGCTAGTCTGAGCTGGAGGATATTATTTATGAAATTGTCAGTTCAGGAAATAAAACTGCCAAGGACATGCCAGAACCCATTTGATGGATAAGTCATTCCAGCATCTCTCGATGAGTCTCTTAATGAAGTGCAAGAGAAGCTGGAATACAATTTGTGTCAAAAGCTCCCTAAGAAAGATGAACCATATTCAACATGCTGTTCAATAGGTGAATTGCAGGGGTCTGAAGTCCCCAGGTGAGTCCCAGAAGCAATAAACCCGTGGTCTTTGCTGAAGCATATCCTTAGCTGTTTTAATAAGTTCTGCCAACAAGCTTTTGTTTAGGTCCCTTAGTGAGCGGCCAGCTTTCTCAGGAGTGCTGACCTCTTAGCTGCTCTGCTGAAACCAATTTATCAAATGGTTTTACTGCTGACCCCACATTGATTTCAGTCTTGATCTGCATTTACACGGATCTGATTTTTCTCCGTTCTCCCAGGACCTGCTTTTGTTGCTTACCTGAATTAACTTTTATGCATTCGCTGTTTCAGGCAGCTGGGCAGACCGATCCCCTCTTCATGATGCTGCCTTCCAAGGACGCCTCCTCTCTTTGAAAACCTTGATTGCACAGGTAAAAGCCCACAGGTAAAGAAAAGGTTGGGAAGCAGCATGGTTTCTGTTGAATTGCATCTGTGAGTCAGTGAGCTGGTAAGAGACTGCAGCAAGACATAAGAAATACAGTTGTATAAATAATATATTCGCATGCATGCCTTCGGGCATGTATTAGCCTGCTTAGTTAGAATGCTGGGGACAAGCCCAGGGCAAAGACTGTTAGAGCTTGTAGCTTGCTGCATAATAAATAATGATCCTTGGGCTCTTTTGCAATGGTAAACCATGCAAACTGGGCTTGAAAGATACATCAGCTATTTAAAAAAAAATCAGTAGAAAGCTGTAAAAGCACATCTTGCTTTATAAAACAGCAAGCATACCCTTCCTAAAGAGAGCTGTCAGCCTGAAACCCTTAGCTCCAAGCGAAACCAAGAATACAGGCAAAAGAAAGAGAGGAATTAAAAATACACTAGAAAGGACAAGAAGCTGGATATGAAAGCAGGCAGCTGCAAAGGGACAGGTTATATAGTTCATGCTTTGCCAACCATCTTCCTTATCACCTTTGCTTAAGCTCACTGCCCTCACCTGGCACAAATAAGCAACTGCCCTTCACCAATCGAGACAACTGCAGGGAAATTAATTTCCTGAGTGTAAACTCTGTCACTTGGCCATCAGACTTCTTATATTCATGGTATATAGTTTTTACCAGTGAGCCCACAGATTAGATGGACAACATCCTTAAGGAGTGAAGCTGCTGGTGTAAAAGCTCTTAAGACATGGCTGCAGCTAAAAGAGGTGGTTGTTTTCAGCCAGTTTTCTCCTTCCCATTTGCTGATCACTCTCTTTCCTTCACCTGCTGATATAAATTTATTTTTATGGAAAAGGATGTGATGGAGGTTAGGGATAATAAGGAAGAATACCACCTTATCAGTGAGGGGCAACTCAGGTTGTGTTTCTATACTGGATGCCCTGGTTATACACCGATGATGGCTACACGCTGGAGAAGGACCCAGTGTTGTGGTTATACATCATTTAGTTAATCCACCCTTTCTCCTTCTCCCGAAGACATTTAATTTTGGGCGTGAAAGATGAAGGTCCTTGCTGATGAAAAAAGATCAAGGCAGCAATGTCTGTAGGGAGTGAATTGGAGCTGATTGACCACAGCTTGATAAATGTAGGGACGAAGCTGTTCATGGAGCAGCATAATCATTGCTCATTGCTTCTAACATAGTTACACTATTAGCCTAAAATTAAACATGGAGTTACACTTCAGAGTATATGTGGGGCACACAGAAGTCTCTGCCATAGGACCACAGCTTTCAAGGAAGCCAGTGAGGTTTCTGCACCCCAGGGGATGCCTGGACATAAAGGGGATGATGGAGCGCTGGAGTTTTGAAAGAGGTGGGGAACTCACCAATGCCTGTTCCAGCACTGCAAGAAGGGTTTGATTTTTCAGCTGCACTGGGAAGAGATTAAAACCATCTGAAAACAAATTTTAACCTGAATGGTGCTTGGCAAACAGCTGTCGTAAGATCTATAACTCGATCTCCATTTTGTAAAGTAAGAGAATGCTGTTTTGCCTAAGATATCAATCCTTTTTCATTTGTGATGAATGAGTTTCTTTTGTTGAATATGTATATCGGAAAAATGATTGAAAATAGGTCTCCTTATCAGGACCCTCCTAGACACGTTTCTCTTGAGGGAGTATTCTGATCATTAAGTATGAAACATCTATGCCATTAGAAAATGGAATAATCTCAACGTTTTTTCAAGGTTTTACCTATTCCCCTGGCACTGTTGTAACATATGGGAAGTTTTTAGCAACAGGTTTTACATTAATATTGCTTTCACGTAACTGAAAAACGATTGTTTTTTCTGTGACAGAATATATATCGTAAGGTGCTTACAGTGGTTGCTTTTAACGCTCCCTGCATGGGGGCTGGTGACTTTTTACAGTGCTGTGCTGTCCGCAGAGAACTTACTTCTGCCCATGGCGTTTGCTGCCGCCCACCAAAAAGGGCACTGCTGCCATCGTGTGGGCTGCCGAGATTATAGCACATCGGGCAGAGACAACTGTGTCACAAAACACTCCGACACCGAGCGGGGAGTGGAGCCGCTTCCAGGCCTGTTCTCACACGTGGTGGTGAAGTCTTCATTCCCAGGAGGTGTAGCTGCAGCCTGGGGAAAAGGCATACGACAGCTGCTTTCCCCTTTGTGAATATGGCTGGTTCCTGTTGGCACAGGAAGAGCTGTGAGAACTGTCATTTAGGCTAACACCTGTAAGGAGGCATTTGGAAATCACGTTTCTTTCTTTCCAGTGTAAAATGTTTCCTGGGTGGCCAAATAAGAGGAACAGATTCACGGGTGGGATCTGTCTCACCTATTTTATGGGTCTAGCGGGTACTTACCACCTCTGAGTGAAACCCACTGGGCACTCCAAATACTCAGTGGAAGTAATTTTATGTTTCATCTGACCTGCTAAAACAAGTGCTTTAGCATGGGATGGTTCATACCCTGGGGGTGCTTGTTTCTCCCCACTAAAGGAGCCAAGGGCTCCAGCCAACCTGCTGGTACCTCTGCCAGAGGCGTCCCTGTTCGGGGAGGTGAATCCCACCAGCTGTACCTCACAATGCCAGACTTAATGGGGAAGGTAACACCACCGTTATAAGCTAAATAAAGGCAATATGTCTTTCCTCTGATTGACCATGCATTGTAAAGAATCAGAAATAGGAGTCACCACTTGCCCTTGCTTCCTCTTTAACTCTATTACCAGCTGCTGTCTTTCGGATTGAGTATCCACCCCGTGACCTTCCCTGGGCATGCAGACAGCTGTGCAGCTCTTCCCTGCCAGAGTCCAATCCCCATTTGCACCCGTGCCAGCCCTGGGAGAGCCAGATCATAGAATCACAGAATGGTTTGGGTTGGAAGGGACCTTAAAGACCATCTAGTTCCAACCCCCCTGCCATGGACAGGGACACCTTCCACTAGACCAGGTTGCTCAAAGCCACATCCAGCCTGGCCTTGAAGACATCCAGGGATGGGGCATCCACAGCATCTCTGGGCACTCTGTTCCAGTGCCTCACCACCCTCTCTGTGAAGAGCTTCTTCCTGATATCTAATCTAAACCTCCCCACTTTCAATTTAAACCCGTTACCCCTTGTCCTGTCACTACAGGCCCTTGTAAAAAGTCCCCCCCCAGCTTCCTTGTAGCCCCTTCAGGTACTGGAAGGCTGCAATAAGGTTTCCCCAGAGCCTTCTCTTCTCCAGGCTGAACAAGCCCAATTCTTGCAGCCTTTCATCATAGGAGAGGTGCTCCAGCCCTCTGATCAGATGGTTTGTGCAGGGCTTTCCCCTCACATCCCTGCATTGCAGGGTTTCGACGTGAACCTGGTGACGACGGACCGTGTGTCAGCTCTCCATGAGGCATGCCTGGGTGGCCACGTTGCCTGCGCGAAGGTGCTGCTGGAGAACGGCGCTCAGGTGAGTCCCAAGGACGTTGGATGCTCCCTGCATCAGCCGGGATGTAGGACAGGCTGCCTGCAGGGCAGGGCCAGGCTGCAGATGGACAGGACCATCTCAGGCAGAAATGGGGAAAAATACAACAGTGCTTTGTTTCTGTGGGTGATGGATTTATACGAAATTTCAATCCCTGAGCAAGATGAAAGGAAAACCCCTTTCTGCACAGTTTTACTTGATTTTGGTATATTAATGGCACTGCCTTCTTATAACTCAGAGAATCATCTCTGAACTGCCTGTTGCTTTCCTAAGAAATCAGCCTATTCCGGATAATATGTAGCTGTCATGTTTTTTATTTTTTGATTTTCCCTCACTCTTTGTTCGTAAACAAAGTCAACAGTCAGTTGTGTAACTTCTGAGCGAAAATGTGCCATTCTGCTGCTCTCCTTTATTACTCTCCTCTTTATTTCTTTTTTTTACCAAACCATTTGTTCCACAACAGCTATCTTACCATTCTTTCCTCTTTTACCAGTTTAATCAATGCTCAGTGGAGAGGGAAACCCAGGAAGTAATTTTTCTTCTTCATCTATCTCCTTGCTTACCCTTGATTATCAGCTTGCCTGAACTGCTGGTCCTGATGTGAAATGATGCTGATAGACCCCCAGTGCCTCCAGCAGCTCCAGCCACATCTGCCTGATGAGACCTGGGAGGAGGTTGGGGGCAGTGCTGGGCTGCAGGACTGCAACATGTAACCTGTCTGAAATACAGATACCCCCTAAGCATATCTGTGGGGTGTTTTTTGTTGGTTTTTTTTTTTTTTTTGTTTGAGGATTTTTGTGTGTGCGTTTGGTTTTTTGGTTGGTTGGTTTGCTTTTGGTTTGTTTCCTTTTTTGTTGGTTGGTTGGGGTTTGTTTGGTTTGTGTTTTGGTTGGGTTTGTTTTTTTTTTTTTCACCCCCATGATAATTTAGAAGCTATGTAGGATCAGGTATAATTTAGCTCAGCAGTTACCAGAAGGGGAGGAAGATTGAGAAGAGGACAGGATGTATAGTGACAATGCTGTTGAAACAGAGTGTTGGTTGAACCCCTGCAATTTCAGGAAGAGCAAGCTACGTTTTGGGCCCCAAAAGCTGAGCAGACTGTTGTCCCCCATGCTGTGGTACCTGATATCTCCCCATAACATGCTAGCTTGCCCACCCTGCCATGATTATTTTCCAGCCAGCTCTGTTCCCCACAGTGGTTATCCATGAAGAGGAGCAGGGGCTGCCTCCTCCAGTGTACCTGCCTCATCTATAAGTGCAGCTTCACGTGGAGAAGCCCAGCCTCACGCTGGCTGCTGCATGGTTGGAGCTTGCCGAAGATGGCAAGGACTGAAACACTGGAAATGGCAATGACTGGTTTGTAATTGTGAGAAAAACACCTTGTAAGAAAAAGATTAACTCATATGACATCAAAACCAAGTCATAAGTTGAAATGCACAAGGACGAATGATATCTAGGAAGGTATCAACTGCAGACAATCCACTGATGAATTACCCAGAATAAATTAATAGGTTCTTAAACATCACTTCCTTTCTCTGTTTTAAAGGCAAACCAAAGCTTGCTAGATAAATTCTGCAAGCTAAAATGTTTCTGCCCTGGTGCTTCAGCCCCCTTGCAGTGCAGCTCCTTTGCTGGCACTGACAGCAAAGTCCAACTTCCACGGTAGCCCAGGACTTTTCCAGACCTTCCTCTCCCGTCTCTATCCTCTTCTCCCAGATTTGGAAAGCACACAAATTGCCACATACTTGCATAATCCATTGCTCTTCTCCAGTGTGCCGCAGATTTAAAGATTTGTTGTATAAATTGCCCCTGAGGGCTTGCTACGTAGTTAAACACAGGTCCTACAGGGCTGTGCACAGCACATGCCAGGGACTGGGCTGCCCCGTGGAGCATGACAGACGGTGCTGCTTGCCAGGTCTCTGTGTCCGGGCTGAGGAAGGAAATTCTTTGTCTCTTACACACACCTACAGACGAACACAAACTCTCTCAAAAACTCCTTTTCTGGTTGGGATTAAGGCAACGTTTCCTTGAAAATTTAAGTTCTGGAAGTGTGTTTTCAGGTGAAAGAATTAAACATGAAGTAAATGTTTTCATTAAAAAAAAAAAAGTTTTCATCTGAGTGTATTCTGGCTTTGGGGTGGTGCAAACTAGATGGTCATGAAGATACTAAAGTTCTCCAGATTAAAAAAAAAAAAAAAAATCACCACCCTAAAATCCTTAAAATCTGCATTTTCTGAACAACTCTAGGAGGAGCATTCATAGCAGGCAGTGTCACTGCCTTATGGCACTAGTTATCTGGGAAAGAAGGCAGACCTCAGAGGAGTGGTCTATGTTACATATGTTGTGCCATAACATATAAATCTGAAAATTGTCGACAAAATCAATCCTGAAATTAAGAAAGACAAGCGTTTTTTTTCTGGTGCATTTCTGGTGTGCAGGAGGCACATGGCAAGGGCCTTCCTCTTAAATCGGATTATCCTGAGCATGTCCTGCTGTTTCAGGTCAACGCAGTCACCATTGATGGGATCACCCCTCTGTTTAACGCCTGCTGCAGTGGCAGCGTGGCCTGCGTCAACATGCTGCTCGAATTTGGAGCCAAGGCACAGCTCAGGAACCACCTTGCTTCTCCCATTCATGAAGCGGTCAAGAGAGGTAATGTTCAGGCTGTGCTTGAAGCTAAATGAGGAATACATCTTTTATTGACCTTAAAATATTTTCAAAAAACCCTGTCTGTGCTGGCATGGATAAATAGGCTGGGCTTTTTCACAGCTCTTGTGCCCCATTGGTTGTACTTGGGTGTATTCTGCTCTGCAGCACTTCAGTGATGGCTCTTCTTTACCCCACAGGTCACAGGGAGTGCATGGAGGTTCTTCTGGCCCATGAGGTTGACATTGACCAAGAAGACCTGCAGCACGGGACCCCGCTCTATGTGGCTTGCACGTACCAGAGGACAGACTGCGTCAAGAAGCTTTTGGAGCTAGGTAGATCTGGAAAAGGGACCAGGGGAGACCTGTAGTGGTGTGAGCCAGTGCTGATGGTCTCTCCAGGCTGCCTCCCCACTGTAAACATCGTGTTTTTTCCACGAGAGTTTGGGCAGCCCAAGTCTGTGAGACTAGTTTGAGGCTACTACAAATTTCAGCTGCATTCATGAAGAATTTATGATTTCCTTAGTAAAAAGGTGTCGTGGTTTAACTCCG